AGGTCCGTAAGTTGAACAGCACCAGGAGCTAACTTCATTGCGAGGAGGACGAAAAAGATAAGTTATCTTTATTTTGTATCCCTTTCCATCATTTCTCCTATCCCAACCCTACCTTAGCAAAACTAAAAATCTACCCTCCCCCTCTCTTACTCCTCTCCCCTTAATAACCTTTTCTGTTGTAACTTTTAAATTAAAACTTTTAAAGTAAACTTAATTTTCCCTTCATTTTCCTATGATATTATTTTTTAAACTGGAAATTCTTTCATTTGTTTTATTGTTTTAAAGATTTTCTCACGTTCTCCCATTATTATTTTCAGGGCTTCGGTGGAAAAGCAGTGCATGGGAACCGAGGCCCGCAAACAAAAGATGAGGAGTCAACTGACAGAATCCAGAGTGACAAGGTCCGTAAGAAGAACAGCACCAGGAGCCAACTTCATTGCGAGGAGGACGAAAAGATAAGTTATCTTTATTTTGTGTCCCTTTCCATAATTTCTTTCTCCTATCCCCTCCCTACCTTAACAAAAGTAACAATAAACCTTCACCCTCCCTTATTCCTTTGCCCTTCATAACCTTTCCCGTTGTTACTGTCTTATAAATAAACTTTTTTTTTATTTTTCTTTAATTTTCTTATGATAATTATTGAAATTGGAATTTCTTTCATTTGTTTTATTGTTTTCAAGTTTTTCTAACCTTCTTTCATTATTATTTTCAGGGATTAGGACGAAAAACAGTACATCGGAACCGATGCCCGCAAACAAAAGATGAGGAGTCAACTGACAGAATCCAGAGCGACAGGGCACGTAAGTAGAATAGCAACAGGAGCCAACGTCATTGTGAGGGGGACCAAAAAGATAAGTTATCTTCAATTTTTATCCCTTTCCATCCCTTTTGTCCTATCCCCTCCCTACCTTAACAAAAGTAACAGTATACCTTCACCCTCCCTTATTCCTTTGCCCTTCATAACCTTTCCCGTTGTTACTGTCTTATAAATAAACTTTATTTTCCTTACATTTTCTTATGATATTTATTGAAACTGGAATTTTTTTCATTTGTTTTCTTGTTTTCAAGTTTTCCTAACCTTCTTGCATTATTATTTTCAGGGCTTCGGACGAAAAGTAGCACATCGGAACTGAGGCCCGCAAACAAAAGATGAGGAGTCAATTGACAGAATCCAGAGCGACAGGGCACGTAAGTAGAAAAGCACCAGGAGCCAACTTCATTGCGAGGAGGATGAAAAAGATAAGTTATATCTGCCGATTGCTTGGAATCGAGGTCCGCCAACAAAGAAAGAGGAGTCAACTGACAGAATCCAGATCGATGGGATTCTTAAGAAGAACAGCACCAGGAAACTTGCTCTGTTTTTCTGCCGGGCTCTTTTGCTGTGCATCCTATCAGTTAATGAATATGTCAAGGACTGATAATGGAACTGCAATTGACATGATCAAGAAAGATTGCAAGAAGCAAATCTGAATCTTACCTCATCTTCCAGTAGTGACTGTAGCTGAAGAGAAACGGGATGGTTAGTTAAGTTAGAGTAGAAGTGAAAGCTTTGCCAGATTTTTTAACAAATTTCAGATTACTAGTATATGTAATGCATAACATCTATGTTTGACACGTTTTATTTGATATGTAATTTTTTTTAATCAAAAATTTTGTAAAATTCTGTAGTTAAATTCTAAAATCTTTAGAAAATCTGTGTCCGTTGTCAATTGACACAGGATGCAAAAAAAAAAAAAACAACAACAACACGCCTGACGGACCTACATCCAAACCCCCCAAAACGCGTTTTGCATTGAAATCAATTTTTTGCCCAATATATGCTATATGTATATAAACAATTGTCGTTACGCAATACATTTTCCCGCTAAACATAGGAAGAAAAGCAAGGTATTGGTTGAAAATCGCAGATTTTCCCTCAAAGGGACACGGATCCTCAACACAAGTTTCCAGAACCTTCATATAAAGCCACAACACATAATTATACCTCAACATAAGTTCACAGATCCTTACTACAAGTTCACAGATCCTTACTACAAGTCACAGATCCTCCGTATAAGTTCACAGATCCTCAACACAAGTTCACAGATCCTCAACACAGATCCTCAACATAAGTTCACAGATCCTTACTACAAGTTCACAGAGCCTTACTACAAGTTCACAGATCCTCAACACAAGTTCACAGAGCCTTACCACAAGTTCACAGAGCCTTCTCACAATGTCATCGATTCTTAACACTTACTCCAAGATTTTTCAAAAAGTTCGCAGACTCTCAACACAATTTCTCTCCTCAACAGAAAATCGCATATCCTCAACCTAGGTCTAATTTCTTTCCACTAGGTCAAAGATCCTTCACATAGAGTCAGAGTTACTTCATATGAAGTTAAAATACAGTGCTGCATCTCTTTCAGTAATTAGTGTCTTTCCCTGCATTCCTAATGCCCTATGAGATGAATTTATTCTTATGTGTAGCCATAGGCTCTTTTTTTCCAGAAACATAAGGACAGCTCAAACTATTTATGTTGATGTGTTCTATTAAAAAAGAAATCAGTTAAGAGTTAAGTTACATTCGCCATGCTGTCACCAGTAAAATGAAACAGAATCATATTCACATTTTCAAGTATATATATATTAATCAACAAAAAGTGGAGGAAAACATATATCCTTGGAGAAAAGACTGAAGTATAGACAATAATGAAGTTATACCTCACAGTAGATCAAATTTTGCTTGAGCTTTCTCCAATAAACACAAAAAGCCAGGATGTAGCATAAAGAAATCATGAAACCTACTATTTTTTCAAAGGTAGGTTGCAACCAATCCTTCCTCTCAGCTCAGTAATCCTGCCATATTGGAGTTGTACCTCACAGTAGCATTGAGGCTTGCTTATCATTTTATCTAGATAATAAAGAATCACAACTACTGGTAGTTGGTTTTATTAAATAGAATAAAAACCAGGAAATCAAAAACAATAATGCAGTTTTATGCTTACCAACTTTTCCGATGTTGGCCACTGGTCATAACCGTACAATGAACTCTTCCTCTTGAAATATCCCTCTTCATGGGTCCTGCTCCTCCTCTTCCTCTGACTCCTAGACCTTTTCATATGTCCTGCTCCTGCTCTTTTTCTGTCGGTTGATCTTAATCTTTCTCTTCTTGGGTCTTTCTGTTAGCTTACCTGTTCCTCCTTCTTTTATTCAGGGTTCTGCTGCGTCTCTTTTTCTGTTAGCTTGCATCAGTCTTCTCTTTCACGAAGCACGGTGTTCTGCAACCATTAAATTAGAAGTCAGAAGGTCATATATTTATTACAGTAGAGGCGGTTGCTGACTAAGACCCCCGCTTCAGAGTCACGAAGTAAGAAGTTGATCCTTACATAGGCGTTTCGAATCCCACTGTGGGACGTGGAGACCGGTCCTTCGGATGAAACCGATGTCCCGTGTCGCAGTAGTGTTGGCAGAAAAAGATCCCTCCTTGCTCAATGGCCCTGAGTGCAATTTGCAGCTCTCCGCCGGCAAGTGGTGGCGTCTCCATATGAGTGAAAAATTCTCGAGAGGGACGTTAAACAACAATCAATCAACCGATCTATTAATTCCCCTGGGATATGACAATTTGTCTCTCATTTCCTACCGGCACAAAAGATAGTTCATAAACGTATTGGCAAGTCCTGCATACAGTTTTTTTTCCCTTTTTTTTTTTATAATAGATCTAATTTGTTGCTACAGCACCAATAAATTTGATACCGTATTAGCACCAAAAATCATCAGCCAATCAATATGATTGTAAATTTTAAAATTTTTAACTGATGATCGAGATATCCCAAAATAGATCCAAAATAGTGTGAAACAAATAACATGCAAAATAAGTGTAAAATAAATTTAATTTTGCATTTTTCTATTTTTCAAAATTTAGTTTGTTTTGCAATTTAGTTGCATTCATAGTTGGAAAGTAGTAAGTGTGATGAAAAAATTTGGTACTGAAGGAAGTTCGCCTACCCCCCCCCCCCCCCCCCCCCGAAATAGGATTTTTGTGTTTGAACAATGGACGTAATTTCCCTTTTTTTGCATGTCAGGTTTTGGGTAGTCCTAAAGAAAAAAATTCTTACACTTAGCCCCCCCCTTTTCAATTTGCTTTTGACGCCAATGGTACATGCAGAAACAAATCCTTTGAAAACAGAAAAGGGAGCAAAGAAACATTATGTAGCACAACTGTTTGTAAATCTCTTTTTTGGCCCGTGTGGCGCAGTGTTTAGAGCGTCTGCTCTAGAGTGGCGAAGTGTAAGGAGTTTATCTTTACGTCGCGGGTTCGAATCCCATTGTGGGACGTGGAAAACGGTCCTTCTAATGAGATCTTATAAACCGAGGTCCTGTGTCGCAGTAAAGTGTAGATGTTGGCACGGAAAAGATCCCTCACTGCTCAATGGCCCTAAGTTCCGAGTATGGGTCCGGCAAAATTTGTGGCTCTCCACCGACAAGTGGTGGCGTCTCCATATGAGTGAAAAATTCTCGAGATAATCAACATACAATCAATCAATCTTTTTTGATTTAAGTTATCGCTTTTATTTTATTTTAAAAGTTAAACTAAGATCGAGTGTATATAGATGGTTTCCTGAAAGGGTGTTCTACTGAAATACTCTCTTTCATCTTAATTTCTATTCGATTTCAATCATTTCATTTTCTCACATTTCACGATTGAAATGTAAAAGTTAATTATCCAATGCAATGAATATTCATTTCCCTCTTAAACTGAGTGAAGTATCCAATGAATAATTTAGCACAAGTATACAGTCCGTTTCTTTTTCAACTTTTTCTTTGATGGCAACCAAAACTGCATCGTTGGGTGAAGTGACTCCTATGTATAATAAGAAATCGTCGTTCTTTTTATATATCTAAAAAAAAATATGATATCTTCTTTTTTAATCATTTATTTTATATGAAATAGAGATCCCTTTTTCTAACCTTATTGTGACCAGGCGAGCTTAGTATAAACGTGGTATTGATCCATGACGCGAGTAGTTTGACGCTTATCTCCCTTAGCAATCGTAGAAATATACGTCACGTGACTTATTCAAGATGGCAGCGACCAAGCGGCTAACGAAGGTAAATATAAGAATGCCGTTTTCTCGGCATTATTTCAGTTTCGTCCCGGAACTTTTTAAATTTAAATGAAAATTACATGTGTCTTAACCAAGTTTTAACAAACTTGTAAACCGAAATGAAGTAAATATCATTTAAGGCGTGTCTACTGCGGGTTCAACGATGAATAGATTTAGAACTGTGAAATGATGGTGCAAGTTTAAATGAAGAATGGACGAGAAATGTCTTTGTGGATATTGAGATTCTCTTTGGATAAATGATTCCCTAATGCCATGTTCCTAAAGGTGTATTGAATTGCACATTTATCAGAATACACGATCTGTCCAAATACGATATATATTGTGTTTAATTCATCTTGGGTATATAATTTTGACAGAGTAAAAACTTGCTAATGTTCATCACATCTACACTGAAAGCTATGAAAAAAGATAGCTTTTATAAATGGACTTAACAGAATTTTTCTTTTTTTCTATTGAATTATACTGTATTGTCTATTGGATTGTCCACTTTCCTCTTTAGACAAAATAGAGACATTTTTACATGTAGGCCTTTAAAATACAGCACGAGACATTTTTTAAATGTACATGTATAAATATATATAAATGTGGCTTTACCCACTTATAAGTATTATTGACCTGTCTCTGGCATGCAGGCCCTCTGGCTCACCACATTTAAATGCCCCCCCCCCCCATATGCCCATGTTTCTTCTGCTACATCGCCTATACACAGGATGCATTCTGTCGTGCTACATGTATGATTAAAAGTGGGTCCAAAGGACAATCATTTTAAAGATTAAACCATTCTGTCTACTCGCATGTATCCTCTGAAACACATGTCATGATGACTATATAATTTCAGAGTCTACTGCTTAGATAATCATGATAATAGATATTATGGTCAAGACATAGTAATTATAAATAAAAGGTGCCTACAATATTTGCCTATATATTTTACATTGCCTACAGATTTTTTCAAATGAGAAAGGAGTTCTTTTAATGACACTTAACAAAAATAGCTTGGTAAAATAAGATTGATTTTTTGATAGACTAGACAATAAAACATATTTTGAACAGTTACTTTTAATGAAAAACAATGAAAGTCGGGTATAAATTTTGGAGTTCTTTTCCATCTCGGTTAAAAGGAATGTAGCAATATTGCCTACAATGTTTCAGAAAATGGTTTTTCATTTTTTTTAAGCCTCATCTTTAAAATTATATTAAGGTATTCAATGTATAACGACCCTATTTTGTACCAAATAAATATATTTAATCATGGTAGCATTTTGAAGATATTATCATATAAAAATGCTCCACCCGAGGAATTTACAAAATTTTGATAATTATCCAATTAATGACACCTTGAATTTTACATTGAAGTCTATGGGCAGCGCATGTTTTTATCAAATATTGTGAAAAGTAATTGAATTTCAAACAAATCTCTTGGTGAAAATATGCATAGACTCCCTCTTTATTTTACTATGAGATAAAATAAATTATTTACCGCAGAAATTTTGAGAAATCAAATATTTTCTTCTTTTCATCAAGGGCAGATAACTCTTCAAAAACTTTAAATGTGCAAAATGACTGTCTCCTTACATGCTATCAGTCTTGTAAATTTGGTTTATTTCACTTTTATCGTTATTTAGCAATGCATTTTTTACTAGTTTAAAATTGTTTAAAATCACTCAAAATCCCTTCATTATACATTGAATACCTTAAATTGAATATAGATATTTGGGTAGCTGCAGTAATGTAGCCCTCTCCGATTTTTTTTTTTTGGGAGAGGGCTACAACTCCTTAGGATCTCTATAATGGCGCAGATGCGGCAGTGGATCACTCCCGCACGGATTTCGGCTCAAATTATCAGTAAACGGTTTTTTTATTATCATCTCTTACCTGGAATCCAAATATGTAATTATGCAAAACATAAATCGATCCAAAAATATTCACAACGATCCATATATCGGTTATTTTTCGTGTGTGTCAACATCTTAACTTGAATTTATCCGCCATGTTTACTGACCTTGATGGATTGTATTTTGGGACAGCCAATGAGAATTTAGGTTCTATAGGAGCGGATCTACTAGGAATTCCCTTATTTTAAGCATACGTATCGCTGTTTGTGCAAAAATAACACTTGAAATGGTTTTATTTATCGATGTTTTTGTAATATATTATAGCACAATCGTTTATAAACATCGACATTTGCTTTATTGGTTGTTCCAAATTTCAAGCGAAAGTCTCACTACGTCATGCGTGATCTGTCATGGCTGCTAAATATTGCAGCTGGGAAAGACACAGATTTATTTTACATGGTTTTCGAGTTTAACAGGCTATGTTGTTGACAGTGAATAAAAATTCCGTCTAATAAGAAGTAAGTTTAATGTAAAAATAATTTATTTTGCCTCCAATCACCCGTATCAAAAAAATATATTTGCACCATTACGGAGATGCGATGGAATTGTAGCCCTCTCCAGAAAATATCAGATAAAAAAAATCGGAGAGGGCTACATTATTGCAGCTAATATTTGGGTTACAAAATTGAAAACAAAGAAATGCTTCATTTTCTACATAAGTTATACACAGCTGTAAAGTATGGGAAAAATTAAGCTGAAACCAGTTTTGATGTCATAATGGATCTACCACCAAACAGACAGTCTAGAGTCATTTACTAAATTTTGACCTTGTGTACATTACAGTACATATATTAAAGATCCAATTTTAGGACATAGAAATCTAATGAGATTAACATATATTGTCTATATACATACATGTTGGGTCCTGCTGAATCCATTCAGTACTTGTATTGTGGTCTATTAATATAGGATCTAAGAATTTCAAGTAATCCATTTAATATAATTAGAAAAGTCTCAATTTTATTTGTATAGTTCGAAGATGAAAAATAGAGACACAAGTAAAAATGAAATCTGTTTTTAATAATATAATAATAATTTACATGTACTTATTAAAGTGACTTGTGACATAAAATTATAATTCATCTCAAATATTAAAAGACTGAAACTTTACACCCCGCCCCTTGGGCCTATATGTCACCTGCATTTAGATATACATGATTTTCCCCCATGGACTAATTATGTATATGTACACTGTGTAATTTATTGACTAATTTACTTGAGCTCATGAGAATGATATAGTACTGTAGAATGATTGTCATTGTAGTTTCCATGATATAGGACAAATTTGCTTGTTTATGATCAATTTCAGCTCATGACTTTGTGACATTTTGGTAATAATGTTGATTAACAAATGCAATGTTACTAATATAAACAAGCCAGCCAGGAGAAAGTAGAGAAATCTCGGATTTTGATCACGGCCTCCTGTTTCCTTTCAAAGCTTTTAACTTCCTCATTCTTTGAATGAAGATCACTGGGTTCTCCGTCAGTTAAAATATCTCACATGGGTCCATCCTTTAAAAAATTGTTTATCTGGAATTGCTGTCTGGAGGGTTTAAGCCACAGGAGGAAGGGAGGGATTTTTTTTCTCAAAATTGAAGATAATTTTTTTTTTTTTAATTTAATAAAAATCTCAATAAGCAGTAAAAAACACATTTTTTGACTTTTTGAAAAAAAAAAATGTACCATCAACAAAGAATCCTGATTTTGTACAGATCTGATGCTACAAACAAAAATATTTTCTTAACTTTGCTCAATAAAATTTTTTCAGGAGGGGGCATTTTAATGAGGCTGGAGGCAATTCCAAACAAACAATAATTTTATTTTGACGTGGACAGCGATTTTACAGATCAAAGACATTTTGTGTTCATGACAGACAAAACCAAATTTTAGGGTAGACAAAGTTTTTTTTTTTTTTTTCCACAAATGATTAAATTCCAAGTTGAGACCCTTGTAACAGTGGTATATCTTCATGAAAATTAGTGTACAGGATAAAACCTTTTGGGGTAAAAAACCAAAAACTTGAAAAAATTGTTCTGTGCATATAAAAAATTTGTGCATTATGCAAGTTTCATTGTCCGATGCAAGCAAGTTGATTACATTTTGAGGAAATTTTTTATTTCCTATTTCATCATATAACTGATTTATTTAACTAATCTAACTATTTAACTAATATAAAAACACATTATTAAAAACGTTTTGTTGATTGTGATTGTTTTAAACCTACTTCTGTCACGATGTCTCTAAAATTTCGATAGGACAGTACAAGGAAAGAAAAAGAAACATTTCAGCTAATCTTTTAGTGTGTTATCTGTTTATTGATTCATATGCTATGAAGTAACATCTTTATGATCATTATATGATTAAAGTTTGATAAAATTCATTTGCTCCTGTGAAATTGTGTGAAAAATCCTTTTAAAAAAAATTCTTAAAAAATATATACCAGTATATATACTTGTGTTTTGTTTTGATCTTTTCAGGAACTTGGGGACTTGAGGAAGAGTGATGTAAAATATTTCAGAAATATAACTGTGGATGAGTCAAACATCTTGTATTGGCAAGGTCTATTAGTACCAGTGAGTAATTTTTAGAATTTATTAAGGAATAAATTTAATAGCTACCCAATTTATATGGCATAGACCAGGCCTGGGGGCCATAAAAGTTAGACGAGCTCACTTTTGATCTCAGTCTCACTTTTCCACTATATATTCCTTTTAAAAAAAGTGAGACTGAGATCAAAAGTGAGCTTATCTAACTTTTATGGCCCCCAGGCCTGGTTTGGACATTTTACATTTTATATACTCTGATGCAGTTTATAAAAAAGTAAACAAGTTATAAAGCATTGTCCCAATTTAGTTTATAAATGTACTGTTTAAATTGGGGTAGCTATGAAATTCATTTCTTTTGCAAGTCATTCTGATGAAGGCAAGTGCCAACACAGTATACAATGTAAAGTACTGGCAATTTTTTTAGCCAATCAAATGGTGCATTAAAACCATAATTATTAATCATTATTTCTATATAAAGAGGTCAGTCAGCTTAATGGTCAGTCACCTGTACGTCCAGAAAAGCTGTCATGATTTGAACCAATTTCAGTGTGAATGTTTTCATAACAACATTCCATACTCAATAGTCATGTCCTTTTAAATGAACAAATTCAAGTCTCCATCACCTTAGTAAGTTTTGAGGATAATTAAAAGTCAGAAATGTATGAAGTTTATGCACAACACACACTGAATGATAGACAGAATAGGGAAAAAAACTATATAAAGTTACCCAAGTGACTCAGATGGCATAAAAAAATTGCTTTGTATTTTAAATATAAATAAATATTGTATTGATTTAGACTGTTTGTTTTGAGAATATGCATGCTGGCAAAAAAAGAAAGAAAGAAAATGCATGTACACTTTTAATAAAAAAAAAAATTCCATAAGGAAAAAAACAATGCATTAATTGGAGAATGTTTAAATAATTTTCAGGAACAGCCACCATATAATAAAGGAGCATTTAGGATAGAAATAGTATTTCCTGCAGAGTATCCATTTAAACCACCCAAAGTAACATTTAAGACAAAGATTTATCACCCCAACATTGATGAAAAAGGACAAGTTTGTTTACCAATAATAAGTCCCGAGAACTGGAAGCCAGCAACTAAAACAGATCAGGGTAAGATCTTTGTATTCTATCATGTCTAGTAATGTTCTCTGATGTCTAGAGAAATAAATTATCAGAGAGAGAGAGAGATAGTATAATGATGTGCATTCAACTTGCATATAGACTAGTGACATTAAATCAGTGAAGCACATATGGAAATTAAATTACAATTATAAGCTTATGCAAATCACTTTGCAAATGTTAATAATAATAAGAGCTGCTATTGTTCTGTTTTTTTTACTGATGTTAAGAGCTGTTAATGTTCTGAACTTTTTAACGAGACAGTGTCTATTTCTTTTTCGTTCCAGTTATACAATCATTAATAGACTTAGTTCATAATCCTGAGCCAGAACACCCACTCAGGGCCGATGTTGCCGAGGAGTTCACAAAAAACAATGCCAAATTTATGAAAAATGCCGAGGAGTTCACAAAGAAACATGCAGAAAAACGTCCTTATGATTAATAATGTGAAAACTTATTAATTGAAGATGGGAGACCAGTGTTGTTATTAATAGAAGGATTAAGGAGAGGAGAAAAAAAATGTTATAGTAAACATTTTGCCTTTGAGTTCCTTTTAAAAAGGACTGATATATATTTTAATGCGAAAAAACTGTTTCTTTAAGAAATATTTGTATGTTTTCTATGTTTACGAAGTTAGCTTAAAAAAACAATTCTGTATTTAATTAAGGTTCTGATGGAAAAGTTGGTTTGCTTATATAAAGAGTGTTTTTTTTTCAATCATTGCCAAGTATGCAATGTAAACTGAAGTATTTTGAATATTCCCTTTGCAATAATAGGTAAACAGATATATAAAAAGGGAGAAAAAAAGAGAGAATTATTTGAAATTCAGAGAACTTGAGCATAAATTTGCAAGATATAAGGAGGAGTTTCATTTTTGGACGTATTATGTTGTATTAGCTTTTCTTCTTTGACAAGCCTGAGTTCCTATCATTGTGAGATTTCATTACCAAGGAGTAATTGACTTTTAATTTATTATTAAATAAATATGGATGTGTAAAGTCACATATCACTTGGTGTATTTGTTACTCAGCTGTGATTAGATGCAGTGCTAGTTTTCCACTCAGTTGACAGTTTATCCATGGCATTTATACTAAATGTATCACCAATGAATATGTGAGACAATTTTTCCTTTTTAGCTCACCTCAACGAAGTTGGGGGAGCTTATGTAATACCCTCGGCGTCGGCGTCGGCGTCCCGGGTTAAGGTTAAGTTTTTTGGAGCAGTTTAACATTTTTGGTGCAGTTTTTGGTGTAGGTTTCATTTCCAAGTAACTATAAGCCCTATGTTAACCAAACTTGCATGGATGATACATCTAAGGATGCATACTACCGGGCTTGCTTCGGATGCTGAATCTGACACTTTTTCCGGTAGAGCGAACAGGTTAAAGTTATTTGGTGCAGGTTTCATTTCCAAGTATCTGTAAGTCCTATGTTGACCAAACTTGCATGGATAATACATCTAAGGATGGATACAACCAGGCTTGCTTCGGATGCTGAATCTGACCTACATTTTCCGGTTGAGTGAACAGGTTAAAGTTTTTGGTGCAGGTTTCATTTCCAAGTATCTGTAAGTCCTATGTTGACCAAACTTGCATGGATGATACATCTAAGGATGGATACTACCAGGCTTGCTTCGATGTTGAATCTGACCTACATTTTCCAGTTGAGTGAACAGGTTAAAGTGTTTGGAGCAGGTTTCATTTGCAAGTAACTTTAAGCCCTATGTTGACCAAACTTGCATGGATGATAAATCTAAGGATGCACACTACCGGGCTTGCTTCGGATGCTGAATCTGACCTACATTTTCCGGTTGAGTGAACAAGTAAAAGTTTTTGGTGCAGGTTTCATTTCCAAGTAACTATGAGTTCTTTAATGTCTTGCATGGATGATACATCTTAGGATGCATACTACCAGGCTTGCTTCGGATGCTGAATCTGATACATTTTGTGGATGAGTGAAAATGTTAGTTTTTGATGTATGTTTCATTTCCAATTAACTATGAGCCTTATAATGTGCAAACTTGCATGGACAATACATCTAAGGATGGACACTACCGGGCTTGCTTCGGATGCTGAATTCGACATATATATTTTTCAGATAATAGACCAGGTTAAAGTTATGGTTGCAGGTCTTTTACCAAAAAACTTTAAGGCTTTTATAACATTGTATAAACCAAACTTGCACAAATGTTGCATCAAGAGATGAAAACTCAAATTTGCTTTAGATGCTGAATTACATTTTCATGAAGAAGAACTACTTTCAATTTTTTATGTTGGTCTACTTCAAAGTATCAGATCAAAATTGTTGGTTAATTGTGTGACTTTGCCTTATTTAAAGACAACATTCGTTGAGGTGAGCTCTGTAATCTCTGATTACCTATGTTTTTTTGTAGACTGATTGCTCTGTAGTTTAATGCAATATAAAAATATGTTGTCACACAATATTAAAACTGATTTTTCATTGTAAACATGTGCAATGTAATGTCATTATACTCTTCAAAATATAGTTTTTCAAGTTAAAAAGTAATATCCAGTTTCTCCTCTTATGATGCTCAGCGACACACTTGGTACTATCCCCCAAGACCTGATGTAAACATCTCTGTATGCACCTGTCATCTGATCATGAACCCTGTGTTGTAGCTACATGATCAGTTATATGCAATGTTCTCAAATAAAACAAAAAATCTGAACAGTTGTTTTAGATGTGTCATTCCACAAAGTATTCTAGAATGATAACTTATCTAGATGTTTGTTCAACCTGAAGTTAAAGGTTTCTATTGTGTGCCTCAGATGAGCTTTATGGCTAAGTACTCAGAGAGGACTTGTAAAACTCTGTCCCTTGTCAAATCTTAAAAGGCTCATGTAATATTAAGCTGAACATGTGCTTAATTTGTTTCCTCAGCAGCCTAAACATTGTTCCTGTTCATCAGATGAAACGAGACTCAAAGTGTCGAGTTTGATCTTATGATCCGCTCCTGTCAGCGAGACACGATAATGGCTCTCCGGGTCAAGTTAGTGTTATAATGATAAATTTATTGTAGGAAATCCAAGATGTCCTTCACAAAATGTCCAAATTTAAAAAAAAATAGTATATAAAAGTTTTTAGATCAATCCCCATGAGGCAATATTTTCCACAAAACACAAAAATTTGACCCATCAAATGCAAGTGATTTTACAGATCACTAAGTTCATAAAAACATCTTTAAAAGAGAAAAAAGACCGGGGTGGGGGTGTAAATCCATCGTCTCCACCCCAATTTCACTGGTGACTAAAACAAAAAAGTTCTCAAAATAGCTAGATTTATTAATCAACTTAATATATTATATACATGTACATACTCAAATGTACAGAATGTCATGATGTATCAAAACAGTGATTAGTCAACAAAATTCAATGTTTTTTTCCTCTTACCAATTATATTTCTTTTGAAAAAATTAACATTCCTGTATAGTTCTAGAGAAAAGCATTTTATATCTACGTGTATTTCAAATATTCATTGATATGTACAAGTATGAAACTACAGAAACAATACATGTAACCAAGGAGCATACTAAACTGGACATAGTAAAATTTTGAAGTGACAAAAAAGACAATATATGAAAACCTTGTAAATTACCCAATGAAAGTTGAATGGTATTTCATATTAAAATGCTGAAATGGACAGAGGAAAACTGTGCGTGACCTGTGCTAATTTAAATAATGGACAAAAATTGGGCATTGTATGAATTACCAATGAGACCAGATCTATCACAGAATAAAAGTTAAAGCATCCCCTCAAGTGCACATATATTGCACATGTACATCAGACAAATATGTTGGCAATTGCAAACATGATCCTCACTCTGAAAGCTTTTGCACTATTCCCACTCTCATAAAATGTCGTATCCCAATTTTCCAACTCTTTTCTCACAATGTTATTTGAGTAAAATGTAAGACTAGATAAATGTTGATGTCAATTTTCGCCATCTTGTTGGGCTGGTCTTTGGGCCTCCCCCCAGTTAAATCCCCCGGGCCGATCCTCAGGGAGGGGGTTGTAGTTGGGATCTTCAGGGGGGCCATCTAGGAGGTAGGTCCTGCAAAAGTTACAAATAAACAAATTACAAAGTAGGGAATTGCAGTCTGCAAAAGAAATAGTTCAACAAATATGACATTGGCTTTATTCTATCCTTTTAGTGAGTCCATCCTTAAAATATTATTTGTTTGCCCTCTACAAACTCAGGGTAAAATATTGGGTGGGTAGGTAGGTGGAAAAATATTTTTATCAAGAAAATTTCAACATATTTCTTGACAGGATAAGAGAAATAAAAGAAAAAAATATTGTGTTTTAGAATGCAAAAAAAAAAAAATTTTAATCGGGCAGATTTTAGACAGTCAGTTGGGAGAGGGCAAACAAACAAATTTTTAAAGATGGCTTGAAGTGCAGTTAACATATCTTTCTTGCATTTAGTCTACATTATATGGCAATATAAATGCAATAGATCAGTTACTTGTAAGGAACTAAGTTTTATCAATGCTTCCGAGTTCCCCATGATTTTTGCACAGTAATTGAATTCTTTCTCAGTCAACACTATCAAGAACCATACTTACAAAATCCACGGAGTTCTAAGAATTTTAAATCCTCCTCGTTGTTGTGGAAAGACATCTTCCAAAAAGTAATAGACATGGCCCACAGCAATTCCTATTAATTACATAGTATATTATACAAGTACTATATCAAAATACTTAAAATCAAATTTACACAAAGTATTGTAAAAATAGGTACAATTCATTATGATTTGTGAATTGTGCAGTTTTGGTACAGGCAAACTGTATGACTAAAGTTTACTGAATTTATGATACTGTTTAAATTGGAGTCAAATACTTAGTCCAACAAAACTTAAAACGTCTAGATAAAAAAAAAATTAAAACAATTTTATTTAATTTTAAGTATAAGTACTGGTACAAATCTTACCCATCAAATCAACTATGACAGAGTTTCCAAGCAAAACTGAGAATCCAAGTAAAACCCATGGCAGATAGGGTGCATGGAATGTCATCAACCCAAAGAAATTCATTCTGACATAGGGATTACGTCGACTCCACAAGTAGACTAACATAATGGTAAAGGCACTACCTAAAAATACTATATTTACAAAAAAACCTAATATCTGAAAATTGTTAAGGATAATTTAAATTTATATCATACTAATTAAAGCATATTAAATATGTACCTGAAAATTCATGTTCTAATCACTCTTAGTGTTATATGAGCATTTTTTCCCTTCAAATCCTCATAAAGGGAGTCAAAATTTAAAAATTTAAGATATAATTAAGGATACAATCATTAAAGAACATCCAAACAAAATCATGAAAAAGAAATCAGCTGTTTTATTCCGAAATGACCCCTCCTCCAGCATTCGACAGTAGCGGTATGCAAATATAATATTGAAGAGGAAGTTAAATCCAATTGGACCAAAATACATGAAGTTTGTGACAAGGCGCCATACCTGGAAAAAATTAAGATAATCAGTGAGATCCAATTATTTAAATTACAATTAGTCATATAAGATACCTGAGAGGTGTAGACCTGTCCTAATTTTTTTATTAAATCACCCATAAAAATATACTAATAAATCAATAAACTATAATATTGTTTATAATTTCTTCAGAGAGTGTGAATGAACCCATCTCAATCAAAGTATTCACTGACATTACTTATCGATAAAATGCAGTGGAAAGTGCTTACCTGGTACTTTGAAAATATTGCATCTGGATTAAAGTAAATCTGAAGCGGGGAAATAATGTCTAGTTGCTGAAATAAAAAAAAGTAAATTATAAAGCATAATCATTTAGAATAAAAACACATTTCTTCTTACTAGATTTTTTCTGAATAAAATAGTTGAAACTTACAACAGCGATTGTTGTTAATACACAAGCTGTTGTATAAGCTCTAGTAATTGGTGGCATTTCCATGTATTCTTGTTGAAATGTGTGTGCCATCTTGAATCTGTCTTCTGCAATATGACGAAATTTTGAAAAATATAGAGTAAATTCGGAAAAAATTGAGATATCAAAACACGTATACTACGCATGCGCACTCATAAAAGTAAATTGTTAGACTGTACAACAGAAATTCGATCGACCACACAAAGAATGTGTTGTAATGTTCTTAACATACACTGTTTTATGAAAATGAATATATTTGCATATCACAATGATTTCTTTATTGAAATTCATTCATTGAAATTCTAGCAAATGGCAGCAAAAGTCGATTTGGTCAAATAATGCAAGACTAAATCAAGCAGCTTTTTCATAAAAATGTAAAAGAAATCTTGTAAAAGTTATATAGAAAAATCAAACAATAATTCCATGAAATAATATAAAAATTATATAATTGAAATCATTCTTTTCTTTTTGTCGACAGTATGAATATTTTGAAAGACTTTTTCTTTATGCCCCAACATGTCTTTGTTTCTTCTGCAACAGTATGAACATTTTGAAAAACTTCTCGCCCAAAATCCTGACGTTATTTCTTTCTATATATATATTATATATTAACTTATTTGAAATAAAAATTATATATTTTTATTTGATTAACATATATTTTTATTTCCCTATATATATATACATGTCTTTTTTTTCTGCAACGAATTGACCAAGCACCGCTTTAATGCACATCCGATGAAAACAAATATGGCGTCAAGTTACACATCTTCTCCTCGATACATTAATGATACGGATTACGATGATGTCGATAGCCTAGACTTGGATGATGATCGAGATTTTGATGAAAATTTTACCGATGAAGGTGAGGAAAAATGTAAAACCTAAGTATCTGTCTTCACAATCCCTGCGTGTACGCTTTGGCGCCAAGCATGAAGTAAACATAAACAGTTTATTGCTTGTTTTATCTATTGTTTCGTTTACAAACGCGTTTCTCTCTTTCTAGTAATTTTGAATAGATGTTTATATGAATTTACTTTGAGAAGCTTTTAATTTTTCTACAAAAACCCAGCAGAGCAAAGATTTGTTTTATTTTGGTTTAATGTTTTGGGTTCGAGTTTCCTCTGTCTTGTTTTCAAACAGCATGAGAAAGAGGGGGGAGATCTTTGAAGTCATATCACACAAAAGTATTACCTAATACAACCCTGAGATTTGTATTTTTGTTATAGTATCTCAAGACACCAAAGTCCTTAATAAATTATTATTGTTTCATTTTCAATTTTATTAAATTTAAAAATTCAACATGTTGTATATTAATTACACATACCCGGTTCTCCTCGATACATTAATGATACTCGGTTACTCGATGTATATTTCTGATAGCCTTTGCTTATTTATTAATGCATTAAACAATCTGTTTTAAAACGTAAAATTTTGCGCTTGTACATAAGTAATTAGGAAAAACCTGTAAATGACCGTTATCGCCTTTGGCAGTGTTTATATAGTAATTATTGTGACCAAGCACCTGTTACCTGGCTTTTCTCACCTTTGGCTGTCATTCACCCTTATTTTTGATTTGCTTTAATTATTTGTTTTCACTGAACATCGTTTAAGGTCTATTATGTTTAAATAGATTAGATAATTTTGTCAATTCTCAAAGCCGTAAGTTTGCGAAAAAGAGACTGATATTACACGTGCGTTTTTGATATGGTTGTGTTTGATTATGAAATACAAATGGTTGAAGGCAAAGACTATTAAAAACTGATGCTACAAAATACTGCCAGTAATAGCAAAGATTTGTGAAATTTGCGATTTCTGCTCTGTTATAATGTTTTGAGATCAAGTCCTACTTGATACTACACATACGTAGCTCAGACGACTGATACCTGGACGTCAAACGCAACAAAGAGTTACAATTATGGAACAAGTATTTTTTTTTAAACAAAGACAGTGTGAACCACTTATGATTTTATTTCTTGTGTTTATGTATTTTTGTTATACTAAATTTCGTCGGACACGAAGTGCTTATCCAAAGTCCTTCAAAATGTGTTTTTATTTTTCATTTTCAATTTTATTTAAATTTAAAAATTCCGAGCCGATTTGACATCCCTATATTAATTAATGTTTAATCTAGCAGAAAAGTTTTTTATGAAGAATATTATCCCATTTGCTTCAATTTCAGTTTGGAAAAATACTTATAAATATATCTTGTATTTGTGTTGTTTTGAAGCTTTTCACACATGTGCATTTGTAATTAGTGGTTAGTGTACAAATATGATTGTATTTTTGGTTTCTTCAAAGTCTCTTCCTTGCTATATGTTGTATGAATTATAATGTTTATGTTATACATGATAATTGATACTTGTAGTTTATAAATGTTGATGTTGAAATCTACAAGTTATTGTTCATTATTATTTATATAAATTAAAATTAAGAGTTATCTCTCTTGTAATGATATCATTCATTGTAGCAATGGCTTCCTTCAGTAAGTAAATGATGACTCAGTATAATCTATTTAAATTTCCTTAATATGATTTACAGTCTTTGACAATTATATTTCTCCACAAGAAGATGACAATTGATTTTTGTTATATCATTGGAAGCTGGATATAACATCAAACTGACATAGTTTGTCCTAAATTTAGTGGATTTGATAAGAAATATACATACAGTAGGAACTCCCTCTGATCAATGTCTACTTTCACTTTGCATACACGGTTCTTTACTACTTTTAGCTTTGTGCATGTGGTTATAAACTAAGATTTAAAGTCTTTCAAGACTTGGATGAGAATAGCATGACTGTAACAAATTCCAATTATTTGAATAATTTTTTAACATAAATTTTGCAACTGTGTTTACTTAATATGTCCTTATACATTAAAAAAGAAAATCAAAGGAAGATTCTAACTAGAAGTTTCCAAAACCATTAGAAAAAAACATTGACACAATATAATCTCAGTATCCTGGTAAAATATTAATGAGAAAAAGTTAATGAGTCATCACAATTCAGTTTTGATTTTAAAGTTTTATGTTGAAAAATCATTAAATTATATTATGACTTTTTAATTGATATACTGTATGTGAATTTCATATGAAGGACAGTCACAATATGAAGATATTTCAACAGGGGATGCTTACTCCTCCTAGGCCTCTAATCCCATCTCTGGAATTTCCAGGGGTCCATGTTTTAAGACCTCTTCATATATTTGTATTTTTTATAGATTTTTTTAAAAGATCACTGGTTATGATCATCACCTTTTACATTTTTTCAGTCTTTGTATAGTTTTAATAAAAAGGCATTTTTGGCAGAGATATCAATAATCACCTTCATTTCATATTCATATAAGAAGAATTGAAAATGTATACAAGTATGTTAAGTTACAACAATATAAATATTATAATGCATGAACTTTGCTGGAGATTTCAAATTTAAATTATCCCACACAGAAAAGGATTCTACCACTAACTTAAGTTAGTCTCAGTAGGTCAAAAGCTTCATAAGATTAACTCAAGGTTTACCATGTTTACTTATCATCTGAGTATTTTCTACTGGTATGACCATAAACTGCCATTGAATTAAGTCTAAAAGAATTAACATACATGGTTAGTTTGGGTTACAAAAGTAACATAATTTAATACATTGTGCAAATTCTTGACAATATTATTAACACAATTAAACACTGTGCATTTAGTTTTAAGTTTAATATAACACATGTAATTTTTGGATATGAAAGAAAAAAGGAGAAATGTATTGAAATGGTAAATAGGGGTATATGATGATTAATATTGATAGTTGTATTTTAAAACTGTGTTTTAGATACAGAGGATGCCAGTGAAACAGACATGGTTAAGCGAGAAACAGAATACACAGAAATCAAAGAACAGTAAGTACTGAAAGTTTATTCTGAACTGGTGCAATTTATTACATGTAACAGTATTGATATTTTAAATAGTTCAAAAATTGGTACTGCTGCTTCTTGAGCAATTGGATTGTTCAAGGAACAGCATGACTTTTAATTAATCTTTAAATAAAAATAATAATTTGGAAAATCCGTGATATGAATCTAATTTCTTCATCAAATTACAAACAGAATGTACCAAGACAAATTGGCACACTTGAAAAAACAACTGCAGCAGTTAGAAGAAGGCACCCTACCTGAATACATAAAGAAGAGGAAAAAAATAGATCAGAATTATAAGGAACGGATACGCATCAATGAAATCTGGAGAGAATTTGAGGTGATTTTGAAAGTGCATGTTTTAGCATAATAGTTACAGTCAAACCTTCTTATCTCAAACTTCTTGAGATATCAGTGTTTGAGATACCAATGTTAAACTGTATTTACTAATTACTCATGATGATTGACAATTTTTAATTTTTTTTTAAGCCTGTATAATGTTCCAGTATACAGTAAAACTTGGTTATAACAAAGTCACTGGGACCTATGAAATTACTTCGCTATATCCGTAATTTTTTATATCCGTATAAGAAATTTGTTTAATTTATAAAACTGGGGATCCAAGATAACTTTGCTATATCCGTGAATTGGCAATATCCGTGTTCATATTAACTGAGTTTTACTGTACTTTGATTTCATTTGATGTTCACCTGGTTTCATGTTGTTTTCAGGATATTAGTACTTAAATTTCATGCATATTTTAAGAATACCTGTAATAGAACCTTCATAAAAAATTTTGATTATTAAAATGCATTGTTGGCTGTTGATGAAAATTTGTGAATGTACTTAAATGTCTAATAAAATCATTATATATGTTTTAGCTTGATGTTGTGGAAAGAGAGTATATAAAGGAAAAGAAGGCCTCTGTCAAAGATTTTGAGGTAATATTTATCTGGAAAAGCATATATGCGTAGTAAAAAATGAATATAGATTTTGACTGATACAGCATGCATTGTCACTGGAAGTGTATATTAAAAGTGAAACAATGACATTTTCTATTAGTGTCTCAAATTTTTATATGTGAGAGTAAAAAAAATTGATTGCTTTTTTTTATTTCATCACTTAGGAAAAGAAAATAGAGCTGAAAGAGAATCTGATTCTGGAGTTTGAAGAGAAAAAGAAGAATATAGAAAATGAGAGAAACTCCATGGACCTAACTGGAGGTAGTATACCCACTTCTTGTGGGTTTGTTGAATGACAAGTTGT